GGGTTGCCCCCCGGAGCTGGAGGGTGGACCCCCGGAGCTGGGGGGTGGACCCCAGACGTGGGGGGATGGACCACTGGTGCTGGGGGGTTGCCCCCCGGAGCTGGAGGGTGGACCCCCGGAGCTGGGGGGTGGACCCCAGACGTGGGGGGATGGACCACTGGTGCTGGGGGGTGGACACCGGGAGCCGGCGGGGGCAGCTGTGGAGGTCCTGGGGGCCCTGTGGGGGCAGGCCCAGTAGGAGGCATGGGGGGCAGGGGCAGGCCTCCGGGCGGAGGTGGGGGCAAGGACTCCGGTAGTGGGGGTCGAGGGGGCAGACCATTCATCAGCGGGGGCGGGGGCCGCTTCACCCCGGGAGGCCCCGCAGGGAGGCTGGGTGGAGCAGGGGGCTTCTCCATCTTAAAGTGGAACTGGAGGAAAAACTAGAGAGAGGAACAGAGAAGAGGCTCAGCAGGGCCCTGTGGGCCTCGGGTATGGGGGACAAAGCCTGCGGGGTGGCTGCCCAAAGGAGCCCCAGAGGAACTCACCTGCTTGGTTTCCCTGTTCCAGTGAGTCCAGAACTTGCCTTCGGCCTTGTCAATCTCTCTGCTGGGCACCTGGACAGGAGGGGTGGCAACAGAGGCGACATTCAGGCAGGGAGCTCAAGGGAGCCAAGGTGCCAGCCTCCTGCAATGGGGACTCCTCCCCGGGAGCCCTGGGGAAGGCCCCAGCCTGTTTAAGGCCTTCTTGTGGGGTGAGAGGGTTCAGTTTTGGGGTGAAAGAGACTTGAAGTAAACTCCAGCTCAGCCACTGAGCAATGCCACCACCCTGGGGAGGTCGAGGTTTGTGCTGTGTGTTTACCGCTGCCCCGCTGACGTGTGGGACACAGGTTGTATGTGGTCCCTGTAACAGCGCCATGTGAGGGCACACGGCCAAAACCTCACAGATCCTGGCACTCAATCCATGTCAGGGCCTCTTCTTTACGGGCCCAGAGGGAGTCACAGAGGCCCCTGCGAGCAGACGCCTCCAGCCTGACAGGAGGGGCGCCCTGGAGTGTACCAGCAGCTGCCCTTGCCTGGACTATGCAGATCCCTCTTGTTCCTGTGGCTCATGGGAGTCTTGAGGACCGCAGGGGCACGCTACCTTGAAGGCGATGGTCTCGTAGGGCTCAGCGGCCATCAGCAGGTACTGCCAGCGCCGGTCCGGGGGCTCGATCCTCTGCTCATAGGCAGACATGAAGCGGTGGCGGGGCATGATGCCCTCTGCAATCTCAGGGTAGTCGATCTGCGGGGACACATTAGTGGCAGCACTGCCTCTCGGGTGCCTTTGGGGCCTCTCTCCTCATGCCCAAGACCCCGGGGGCCCCACTCACCTGGAAAAGGAGGCTCTGCTGGCCCATCTCCGAGTCCCTCTGCTTGGTCACTGCAACACACAAGGGTCTCAGGTCCAGGCTGGCTCACCCCCCGAAGCTAAGGGACCCTGGGGGTGGTCTAACACCACCCACTGAACAGGAGGCTGAGACACTGGGGGCTGTCCTCTGCTGGTGATAGCAGTGGCCAGGCTCTGCCTGGGCTCAGGGGTTTTGTGCTGCAGGTGAAGGCACGGGTGCCCCAGGGCATAGTCACCTGCCCAAGATCACTCAGGGTGAGCTCTCCTTTGTCCCACCCTAAGCCCCTCCAGGAAGTGCCATCTGATGGGGTGCTCAGTCTCACAGTTCCCGGTGGCCTTGGAATCAGGCCTGCACCTCGGCCACCTCACTCTGGGACCTGAGTGGAGCCAACCTGAACCCTGCCACACAGTACGGGGGGTAAGCTGGAGTTTGGCGACTTGGGATCTGAGAATGGCTGCTGCAGGTGGCATCCCTGCTGGGCTGTCTGCCTCCCGGCCACACTCCACGTGGCCCTGGGCACCCACCCCGTTTAAGCCCTTCAAGGTCTCTCCACTGCACTGAGGACACCACACCACACTCCTGACTTGGTCTCCCCACCCGGACCCTGTCACTCAGGCCAGCCTCATTCACCCAGTGCCCTGGGGGCCTCTGCACTGCTGTATCCTGCCCACCTTCTGCTAAGAACACCTGCAAGGCAGCTTCCTGCCTCAACTCCTAGGGGTACAATTCCTACCGACCATTCAACCCATGTTCTGCACCAGGAAGCACAACACTCCCCCCTCCTGCCCTTCCTCCTGCTTGAGGTTGAGAGGAGCCAGCACCAGTCTCAACTTCCAAGGAAAGGGACACCCCACGGCTCACTGTCCCCTCCCACATACTTCTTCTCAAGTGTAAAGAATTCCTCTGAGCCTCTGTGAAGTCCGACAGGAGAGCGCAGAGGGGATGAGCATGGGGGACACAGGCCCAGGGCACACAGCAGGTGAGGAGGGGCGGGAGCCAGGCTTGGTCAGGAGCTTATCAGCCCAGCCCCACATTCCTACAAACACAGCCAGGAGCTGTGAGGAGGGAGGGAGGCTGCCAAGGCCAGAGAACAGCAGCACTGTGTGGCCCAGGGAGGAGGGTCTCAGGGTCGCACCTCCTGCGCTCACTCAGGCCCAAAGAGCCTATTCATGCCATGGCGGCAGCCACTGTGGGTGGCGGCCACTCCCGGACAGACTCACCTTTGTAGCCGGGGCGGCCAATCTTCACAAACTTCTTCACCTCCACCTTGACCTTCTCTGGTGCGGGCTGGGCCGGGGCCTCCTTGGCTTCCTTCGCTGCTCGCCGGGCCCTGCAGGCAGGACGGACATTGTGCTGGAAACCCTCCACACAGGCCACCAAGGCCACAGGCCCAGGTGCCAGGAGCGCCCCCCCAATCCTTGACCTTGGAGCTCATCGACAAGGTGAGGAGATAATAAGGGTGGGGGCGGGGAAATCCTGGGTTTGTATGAATGCAGGGTGGGGACAGGCACAGAGTTCAGGGGCATCCTTCTTGTCACACGCCCTGCTGTCCCATGTTAGAGTGCTCCATCTTCCTTCTCCCATGTCAGACCTGACTATGGGACCACCCCCTAAGTCTCACGCAGCTCAGAGACCCAAGCAAGTGGCAGCTGTATGCCTGGGGTCCAAGGTTGCTAGAGTGTCACACGGTGGAAGGGGTGAGTACTCACAGGTTGGTTTGATGCTTTTTCCCCTGGGTATGGGCAAGGTAGCTCCCCTAGAGTGGAAAAGAAAACAGGCCCAGGTGGCAGGCCTCCCCCTGCACAGGCCATCTCAGCCCCACCCGTCAGGAGCTGGGCCGGTGCCCTGGGCAGGACCCACACACAGGAGCAAGGCCAGCCTCTGCCTCACAGACCCAGCACCAGGAGGGGCCTGGTGTAACGCGGGCACTGACCACTGCTGAGGAGGAGCCCTCCAGGGTCTGCACATGGGGACAAAGTGAGTATAAAGCCAAAATGACAAGGCTCTGACAGGCCAGCTACCAGGAGCATGTGGGACACTGTGGGGGCGTGCGCAGGTGGACCTAGCTGGACTGTGGCCAGCTGCTCAGCAGCATCCAAAACAGCTG